CTGAACAGACACAGGTAGATTTCCATCAGGTCACAAACACACTTGTGCACTGTCGTCTGCTTTTATAGTAGTTCTTCACAACACTGATCACAAGGTAATAATGTCTCCACAGCTGGACTTCACTTCGAATGTATAGTAACACACTACCAGTGTACAATTCTTTCTCCTTTTCATTTTCATATTGCTCGCAACAATTCCACAATATTTGCAAAACAATTATCTTCAGTTGTCCTACTAGGCTTGTACTTCACAATGAGCAAAAACGGTTGACTGACTAGGCCGCACAATGTCACTTCTAAACTTCTTCAGAAGCCTCTCAAACATCTAGCACCACCCAGAGACAGACCCTGGGAGGTTCTAGAACGTTCTACTCAGATCGAGGCTTACAATAAGTAAATCATAAACAAAAATTATGCAATACATTCCAGAAAATTCTTACATGTAAAATATCAATATATACACGGAAATCTTTAAATTTGCTTAAAAAAAAAAAAAAAAATTGTTGCTTGGAATAGAAAATAATCAAAACTAGTTTACAAACATTTATACCAAGTTATGCCTTGGCATAGCAATAGGTTTGGGTACAGTTATTCTTCAAGGATTGAGGAAGAAGCCAAGTTGTTCTTCATTGGCATTGTTATTGCTTCCGTTTTTGTATAATATCACAAGTTATCTACTTGCGGAAGATAAAGACTGTCTCCAAAGAGTTCATCTGTCGACATGATAGCTGGCAGGACATGCAAGTGCTCAAACTGCTGTAGGGAACTGACAGTGAAGAAGTGTTTGTGCAAAAACCGGTCTTACAAAAACAAATTACACCATGCTACTTAAAGAAAATTGCTTTCATTGGTACCTCATCAAAGTACACCAAGTCCTCTGTTAACGTTATTGGCTGTTCTTGTAAACCGCAACGTTAAATGAAACTGGTAAGCGGATAAATTTTTTCCGTTATAAAGTTAAGAAATAAGTAACGTTCCTCGCCTCCCTTCACCCCTATAACATGCATCACCATTAAGACCGTGTAAACAGATTGTAAATACCTGTATATTCTGCACTGTTAATATAAACTACAATAATTTTTAATTTAAATTTAGTATGAGATATTGTGGGAGGGAAGGTAGCAGGAATCACGGAGACCTTGACACGCCTGTATTATTAAACCTCTTCCCTTGAAGAAGGTCGTCGTGTTTCAACTCGAGTTTGTAGCGTCCTGAGGGACACTACAGTACTTAAAGGGGTGGTGGCGGTAAAATTAACTAATTCCAATATAAATTAATTTTATTGAAATTAATTTTACCGCCACACTGCCCTGTTAAGTACTATATTGTGGTGTCCCTCATGACTCGGTTTAAGACTGGTTGAAACACGATGACCCTCTTCAAGGGGAGATGTTTAATAATCCTGGCGTGAGGATCCTCCCCCTTCCCTTAATGCGTGTGGTTCATCGTGTGCTTCTTTTCCTGCTGTCTGTTTTCTTTCCTTCCGAAAAAAAAGCAACCAGTGTTAACTGCCTGGTTTGATTCTTTGTATAGTTCGTAGTAGCACTTTACGTATTGGTGCACTTTAGTTACGTTCTCCATTCAGGTTATCTTCAACCAGCATATCCAGTCCTTCGTCTATACGACTAAATGCTAGAGCAGTCACTTGCTGGTCGTTTTGATGTGATTTCAATGGGCAAAGTGAACAGGAGGTACACAGAACATGCGACACATCCACACTTGACAGATGCTCCACAGTAACGTTGTACAGCATCACTAGGCAGTCGAAGGAAAGTGTTGCAGGGAATAGAAGTACCGTCTGACACAACATATTAACAATTTTACACGGCATTGTGTATAGAATAAGTATGGACATAATAACGAAACCACGTTAACTGGGACGTTAGGCGAGTACTTGCTGTAAGTTCTTTCTGCTTAATATGCTGGGGATCAGTCCCATGGTTATGAAGTTTGGTAAGGGTAGGTCTGGTTCTCTGCATTGTTGAATCGTTTTTATTACTATCGAAACCTCCTCTCCGGAAAAAAAAAATGAACGAAATTGAACTGCTGCTTCTAGTGCGAGTTGTCTCTACCATTACCCTCAAATTTTCCCCTCACCATTCTTGGTCTACCCCAGGCGCTCCTTCCTTTCACATTAAGGTTTATGAACCTCTTCACCCAATTGGTCACCAAGCAAAGCTGTACAGTATTTCGTTTGTCTATTCTCCCTTAATAATTTATCTATCCCTTTCCTCAACTTTTATAACCTGATCTAGCAGCTTCAGGCTCCTGTAGTTCCTGTCTTCAAGTGCAACACCTTTACGCATGTAATGTACTATCGTGGACAAAAGTTCGCTCCTTCCCAAACTGAAGCAGTTTCGACTCGCATAGCACACCCCGCACCATATAACAATCAGGTAAGTCAGTTTGGAGACTCATTCCCGTGTCTGTTTCACTACAGGAGCGAACTTTTGTCCACGATAGTACACTGTACTCTTGATCACTCTTCCTCCAGTTGTCTGAAACCGTACATTGCAACATGATTGCATTAGTCAATTCAGTTACCTGATACGTTTACATCACCTGATGCTTTCGGCATTTCTGCCACGATCCCAGAGCTTCCAGCTGTCTACCCATTCTTCATTTTGTCAATTGCTTTCTCCACCCATTCTCGAATAATCCTTGGGCACTGTCTCTGTGCTGGTTCTACTATCCCTAGGCTGCTTGTCCCATTCATGCTTTTTATTCGGTAATCAATTGTAGTAAAAGATTTTTTCATCTGCTTATTTAATTTCGTTTTATTTGATAAATTCACCGTTAAAAGAATGGGGATCGCCCTGTAATATGTTGGTCGTTATTTTCTCCATAGATTTCTTTGCTTCTAGTTTATTTTTCATACGGATAGTTTACAGTACAATGCAGCATAATTTTTTTTCATTTTAGTCTATTGCCTTAAAATTTTATATAGTGCATATTTTAGTTGTGATCATTTTATAAACATGTTAAGTGTGTGGCTCTAAGAAGTACTGGTCTAGTACAGGGTACAAAAAAAAATTAACTCGTGTTTGAAGGAGGGGGCTGTGCTGAATAAGTCTGGCATCAACCAAATAAAATATAAAAAATGGCTTCCCCCATAGTGAAGGTTTGAATTGTATTGTAAGAGTTCACTGCTTTCTAGTGGCACTGTGATCGGTTCTTGTACGGAGGATACAGCGTGGCTTGTATTTGATGGAGAGATGGAAGTCCCTCAGACACTGTGGAATGCTCTTTGGGTGACCCAGTCGGTTCAGCGCTCAACAGAGACTGTAAATGCCTCGCTCACCATTCTACATTCAAACCAGTGAGTCCTGTATTGGTACCTTGTACGTTTAATTATGACTGAATGATCATAGTTGATAACATTTATTACTCAAGTATGATAATGTAGGAGTTTTGACAGCCAGTTTTAGTTAGGTACAGTACTATCAATTTGTCCTTGAAGGTAAGCTAGGCTGTAATACCTCAATCATTACTTTGACAGCTGGAATGCGTCTGGGGTGACCTCGAGCAAATCCACAAACCATACAACTACAGGGACAGGCAAGTCCCATACAACTACACCAGATAGCACTTGGAAGCGTGCAAGTACATCGGCACCCACTCCAGGAATTATTTCATCTCCAGTTACTTCAATAAATATAGCTGTAACAACCATCTCAACAAGCATAACTCCACCCTCGCTTAAAGCTACAGCAAACCCTACCTTAACAACCCCTGCTAAAACGGGCACCAAATCAACCACAACTAAAGCAGTCACTCATACAGCAAAAAACAAACGGGGGGCCGACGCTGCAACCACGGCGAAACCGGGTGCCAACGCCACGGCCGCAGTTGGACCGGGTGCCAACGCCACGGCCGCAGTTGGACCGGGTGCCAACGCCACGGCCGCAGTTGGACCGGGTGCCAACGCCACGGCCGCAGTTGGACCGGGTGCCAACGCCACGGCCGCAGTTGGACCGGGTGCCAACGCCACGGCCGCAGTTGGACCGGGTGCCAACGCCACGGCCGCAGTTGGACCGGGTGCCAACGCCACGGCCGCAGTTGGACCGGGTGCCAACGCCACGGCCGCAGTTGGACCACTGGTGGACCGGTACCAACGCCACGGCCGCAGACAGACCGGGTACCAACGCCGGCCGCAGTTGGACCGGAGTGCCAACGCCACGGCCGCAATTGGACAGGTGCCGCGCCACGACCGCAGTTGGACCGGGTGCCAACGCCGCCACGGGTGGACGGGTACTGCTTACTACCCGACGCGAATTGGACGGGTACTGCTTGCCGGCTTTTGTGTTGGAAGCCGGGTACCCAACGCCACGGCACCAGTTGGACCCCGGTACCCAACGCCACGACGCAGTTGGACCGGGTGCCAACGCCACGGCCGCAGGTTGGACTGGTGCCAACACGACCGCAGTTGGACCAGGTACCGCACGCCCACAGCCGCAGTGGACCGGGTGCAACGCCCGCGACACGCGGATTGAACCGGTGCCAACGCCGGCCGCGGTTGGTTGATTTTTAACATCCTGACCTGATTCAGACCCGGGGTACCGCTTCCCACGGCCACAGATGGACCGGGTACTGCCTTGCCTGACGCAGTTGGACCGGGTGCCAACACCACATCTGGGCCAGAATTACCTTGCCCATCTGGGCCGAACGCCAACACCACAGGCCACGGAATTCGTTCCGGGTGCCAACGCCACATCTGGACGAAGATTGCCAGCGCCCGCTTTTGGGTTGGACCAGGTGCCCGCACCCGCGCAGTGGACGATGCGCCTCACATCTGGACCGGGAGCGCCAACGCCACGGCGCGGATTGGACGGGCGCCCAACGCCGGCGCAAATTGGTTGGTGCTGTGCCGCATCTGGACCGGAACCAACGCCGCGACCGCAGACCGGACCGGGCGCCAACGCCTGGCCGCAGTTGGACAGGTACTAGCGCCACAGCTGGATCAGGCACCAACACCGGCTGCAGCTGGACCAGGCGCCAATATCACGCGGGTGCAGCTGGATCGGGCGCCAACACCACGGCTACAGCTGGACCGGGCGCCAATGCCACGACCGGATCGGGTGCCAACGCCACAGCTGGACCGGGCGCCAACGCCACGGCTGCAGGTGGACCGGGCGCCAACGCCACAGCTGGACCGGGCGCCAATGTCACAGGTGCAGCTGCATCGGGCTCCAACGCCACGACTGGATCGGACGCCACGGCTGCAGCTGCATCGGGCGCCAACGCCACGGCTGCAGCTGCATCGGGCGCCAACGCCACGGCTGCAGCTGCATCGGGCGCCAACGCCACGACTGCAGTTGGACCTGGCGCCAACGCCACTACCGGATCGGGCGCCAACGCCGGCTGCAGCTGGACAGGCGCCAATGTCACGGCTGCATCTGGACCTGGCGCCAACGCCACGGCTGCATCTGGACCTGGCGCCAACGCCACCTGCAGCTGGACCGGGCGCCACGCCACGCAGCTGGCACGCCACGGCTGAACCGGCGCCAACGGCTGAACCGGGCGCCAACGCCACTGCCACGGCTGAACCGGGCGCCAACGCCACTGCCACGCTGAACCGGGCGCCAACGCCACTGCCACTGGCTGAAGCCGGGCGCCACTGCCACGGCTGAACCGGGCGCCAACGCCACTGCCACGGCTGAACCGGGCGCCAACGCCACTGCCACGGCTGAACCGGGCCGGGCGCCATAACGCCACTGCCACGGCTGAACCGGGCGCCAACGCCACTGCCACGGCTGAACCGGGCGCAACGCCACTGCCACGGCTGAACCGGGCGCCAACGCCACTGCCACGGCTGAACCGGGCGCCAACGCCACTGCCACGGCTGAACCGGGCGCCAACGCCACTGCCACGGCTGAACCGGGCGCCAACGCCACTGCCACGGCTGAACCGGGCGCCAACGCCACTGCCACGGCTGAACCGGGCGCCAACGCCACTGCCACGGCTGAACCGGGCGCCAACGCCACTGCCACGGCTGAACCGGGCGCCAACGCCACTGCCACGGCTGAACCGGGCGCCAACGCCACTGCCACGGCTGAACCGGGCGCCAACGCCGCCACGGCTGCCACGGCTGAACCGGCGCCGCCACTGCCACTGAACCGGGCACGCCACTGCCACGGCTGAACCGGGCGCCAACGCCACTGCCACGGCTGAACCGGGCGCCAACGCCACTGCCACGGCTGAACCGGGCGCCAACGCCACTGCCACGGCTGAACCGGGCGCCAACGCAACTAAACCAAGCTCCACTACATGGTATGGGAGGTCCAGGACTCGTAAAATTGACGGAGTAACCAAGTCCCAAGGTGCTTCAGAGTCGGTCTTACCCACCACTCCACCGTACATCGACTCCACAAACCTAACCCTTGTAACAATTTTATTAAACATAACTTTAGATACAACTTCGTTAAACAAAACTTCATTAGACGGACTATTGAGCACAGCCATAGACAAACTCTTACACTATTCGTTAAACACAACTTTATTAAAGACAACCACGACTTCGCCAACCACGACTTCGCCAACCACGACTTCGCCAACCACGACTTCGCCAACCACGACTTCGCCAACCACGACTTCGCCAAACACGACTTCGCCAACCACGAATTCGTTAAACACATTAGCCAAGACTGCATTAGGCACAGTAAACGTCCATGCATTAGTCCCAAAACTATTTAAAAGGTCTGTAACGGCGGAGTCGAGCACGGCGGAGTCGAGCACGGCGGAGTCGAGCACGGCGGAGTCGAGCACGGCGGAGTCGAGCACGGCGGAGTCGAGCACGGCGGAGTCGAGCACGGCGGAGTCGAGCACGGCGGAGTCGAGCACGGCGGAGTCGAGCACGGCGGAGTCGACGTCCATAACCCTCACCACAATTTTATTAAACGTGACTTTAGATCCATCTTCATTACACACACTCTTGGACATCGCCTTGGAAACACTCTTTAATACTCCGTTAAACTTAGCTCTATTAAACACACTCTCGGGTATAGGTTTAGACACGCACTCTAACACGCCTTCAGGCACGACCCCTTCAGGCACGACCCCTTCAGGCACGACCCCTTCAGGCACGACCCTTTCAGACACGGCCCCTTCAGGCACGACCCCTTCAGGCACGGCCCCTTCAAACACCTCTTTAAATATAACCTCATTATTCACATCTTTAAATATTTCCTCATTCACCTCGTTAAATATAACCTCCTTGTTCTCCACGTTCAATATATCCTCATTATTAACCTTGTTAGACACGACCTCCTTATTTACCTCGCTAAACACAGCCTCGTTAAACACAACCTCGTTAAACAAAGTCTTTGACATAATTTTAGAAACTTCATTAAAAAAATCTGCATTAGACATGCACTTAGGCCTATTCGTAGCCTTTTCATTAAACACTACATTTGACATTCCATTAAACACCCTCTTAGGCATAGCCTTTGCTAATCTCTTCGACACTTCGTTAAACACAATTTCATTAAATACATCTACATTAGACACACTATTAGACATTTCATTAAACACCACTGCATTAGGCACAACTACATTAGACACAACTGTATTAAACACTCGCTTTGGCATAGCCTTGGCCACACTATTAGACACGACTCCATTACACACACTCTTAGGCATAGGCTTTGCCAGACTATTAGACACTTCGTTAAACACAACTTTATTAAATACAACTTCATTAGACAAACTCGTAGGCATAACCTTTGCCACACTATTAGATACTTCATTAAACACGACTTCATTAAACATAACTTCATTTGACACACTCTTAGGCAGGGCCTTAGCCACTTCATTAAACACAACTTTATTTAACATAACTTCATTAAATATAACTTTAGGCGGTACTCCATTAACTCAACCTCCAGTTCCACTAAAGTCTTCACTAAACACTACCACACCCAGAACACAGGTAACGATTGGTACCTCATCCGGAGTGATCGCCAGACCACAGAGAGTCATGCTTGTACTAAGTGTGATCTTGGTCATTCTTCTCCCCTCTGTATAAGTTTTACAACTGTATTGTATAAAGTGGTTTTAAATTGTTTTTAATTTTTATTAAAATTTATGAATATTTGGATTTTACAACCAGCTTTTCCCTATCCTTTAAATTTTCGGAAACCGTGTGGTTTTCCAGGATATAAAAGATTAAATGAACTAAAACGTGTAACATCTGTGATAGATCAACAGAGCCGCCATCGGCTAACTGCTGGGAATCCATGCAAGCGTGGAAAATGGATTTTAAAATGACAAGTAGCCTATTAAGGCAAATTAGAGGCCTTGTATATCTAATAATAAATAATAGTATATTAAGATAACATGACAGGCTGAAAATATATAATAAATAGAAGTTACATATGGTGAAACGGGAGTGGGTCACTTGGTTGACAAAAGCTTAAGGTAAATAAGAAACGGACATTTATTAACTGGAGATCTGGTCTTGTGGGAGCTGGTCTTGTAAACAGTCTTGTGGCCTGATATAGGCGCCCAAAAATTTCTTCCCACGGTTTGGATGGCCGTCGTACCTACAGTAGTGCTAAGGTCCGCGCCTTCACTACAGCTACAGATGGTTTGCACATCCACCACGTGGTCCGGGTAAGTCCTTCAGCTCACCCAGGGTGTTGATGGTTCTTGTTCCTCGTGTGATGCAGTTAGAAAATCACAATTCCTCACCTGGGTGTAGTTTGGAGTCTTTCTTGGCTTCTCGTCTAGTGGTGGGGAGTGTACGACGGACCCTGGGTGGGTCCTGTCACCCTTGACCACTGAGCACCGATTGTCACTCCAACAGTCGTTTCTTTCGAGTTGAAATTGTCACGTTTGTATATCGGTTGGGTTGATCATCAATCACTGTAATGGTGGGAGGATGTTAATAAATCCAGGTGGGGGAGAGGCCCGTTAGACCAGGATGGCAGCTATCTCCATGGCGGATTAGCGCCGAGTACAGTACTATCATGGACAAAAGTTTTCCTAACTGAAGCGGTATCGACCCCAAATGAGATAAAACGGCACACCCGCACCGGATGAGTCAGGGTAAGTCGGTTAGGAGACTCATTTACGTGACTACGTTTCACCACGGAGCGAACTTTTGTCCACGATAGTACATCCTCACCCCATGAAGGTTGAAGACGGTGCGTGTGTGAGCACGCATGTACAGTACCTGCATGTGTGTGGTGTGATAGTTAGCATCCTCGCCTCGCAAGCGAGAGGACCCGAGTTCGATCCTCGGGCAGGGTGAAACTATGGGCAAGTTTCTTTACGCCATTTGCCTCTGTCTACCCAGCAGTAATTGGGAACCCGGATGTTAATTGATTTGCATATCGTATTCTGGGGGTAATGGTTAGCCAGTGCAGTTGGTGAGTTGTCCAGCCTTATCGGACTATTCCTTGACACTGGGTCAGGCAGCTGAGGGTGTGGTTGTGTTGGCGATAGCTTCTACGCCTTAAACAAATTCACGCCTAGGTGGCCTTTGGGCCGTCCATCCTCGTTACACTAGGGGGCAACCATTATGCGAGGACAAATGAACACAAATCCGGTAACCTGCTTCATTATTATGAATCCCAAACCGAACCTTGGAATTACGGTCGACTGCCCGCCCTCTGGCTACCAGGTTTTAAACTACAGGAGCCTTAATTGTCTTTTAGGTTAGCTACAGATGGCGCCTCTCTATGACTCAAAGGTGAAGATAAGAAAAGAACGCACATGCGAGCGTGTCAAAGGCTGTATGAGACTACTCCTTAAAAGTCGTATTTTTGACGAATTCAGCGAGTCTACTAATCCCAGTCTGCAGAGAACTATAGTAAGACCCGGTTATCAGCACAGTGGCATCTATTTTTTTTAAGTTTTGGACTCCTTTTTGTTTGATAAAAACATCTGGTCTTACCACTCGGTCACTCTGGTCGAAGAGTTTCAAGTTTGCACAGTGTGAAGTGTGATGTGGCAATGACGTCTTTACCACTCCACCTGACTGCAGTGTTGCCAACGTCCCCTATGCACGCCGTTAAACGCTCCCGTTCGTTGCAGACGGCTGCTGTAGGTGACAGTGATGCTAACGACTTTCATCTTGAAGACAAGTCTAAAAAGCAGAAACCTCTTAAGTCAGGGTCTCGGGCAGGGGCTACGGCTCTTTCTTGCACCCCGTTTTGGGCTGTAGAGGGTGACCACCTCCTGCCGTCGGGGTCCCCAAGTGAGCTTACAAGTGTCTCAATGACCGACCCTTCCGCCAATGGGTCTCTCTGCAACGTCACGCCTTCGTCGTCTCGCCTTTCCTCGGGACTTGCCTCTGAGCATACGGACGACTTGGTTCTTCCGTCCCTGGTCTCCACTTCAGGACTCAACACTTCGCCTCCGAGGTCCTACAGCCGTAATAGTTACCACAGAAATGGACGAGACGGTACGCCTACTCACTCAAGTGGGCTTTCCTGCTCCCCAGGGGGAGGTAATGCTGAAGTTCACCACCATCACCCCAGAAACTCGTCGTACCAAGGTAATGGTTCGCCACGTACCCTGGGAGTTCTCTATCGACGATCTTCGCCCTCTTCTCACACAACTACTCGACATGGAACGCCGCATCAACCCGGTCTCCAAACGTCCATCCAACGAACTCATCGGCTGGTGGGTAGGCCCCCGAAGGTGAATGTAGGACCTATTCACAACTGTCCTCTCGACCGATTTATCGGAATCCCGAAAATCTGTGGTCTTTGCCATTCGTGGAAACACTGCGCCTGGGAGTGCACGAGGATGGTCGCCTGCTGTTTCTGTGCAGGTCCTTAAGACACAGTGGAATGCAAATCGAATATTCAGAACAAAATCCCAGTTTCATGGTGTCAACTTCCATGGCAGTCACCACGCCTGGAATGCCAACTGCCAACTGCCCCAGCGTCCTGGCAATCGCCCAGGGAAAACTTAACTTGTTCTACCGCCCTCGTCTCTGACGAATCCTCTGTCAACCAAACCTCACTCCTATCCACCACCGCCTCTTCCATCCACCAAGGATTTCCCATTGATCTAATCTCCTCTACCATCACCCATCCCTTCTCCCCTCCCTCTCTCTCCCTACCGTTCTTGGAACAAGGTCTTTGCCGGCCCTGCCGCACAGTCGTCACCACCTCCTGCCCACCCGGACTCCCGCTGTTTCTCACTAGCACCACCACTTCTTGCTCACCTGAACCCTCACTGTCCCTCTCCATCGCTACCACCACCTGCCCAGTCGGGCCCTCCCCAAACCTCGCCGCCACCTCCAGCTCCTGCACAGGTACACCAAGTTGGTGCTATGGAAACAATCACTCTCCGTCTGGATCGCCACTCCAAGCAAATCAACCTTCTCTCTGCCCAACTCAACTCGTTTG